AAGCACTATCTTCCTTCAACGGATTTCATTTTAAGAGTATTTCTATGTAAAATACTTTTACATTTGGGGGGGGGGGGGAATCAGGACAAGTAGGATAGCTGTCTGCCAAAATCTTTATTCTCTGAGGTCATAACATTTCCTTTCCTATACTTCTCATATAATATAGAATAAGAAATTATGAATTCATTTCAGTCAAATGACATTGATTTCAGTGGGATCATTAAGGATGAGTAAATTACAGAACAAGTATGATGGAGACAGAGCATGATGTAATCAATACTTTTTAAGGATGGTTCAAGTTGTCTCTCTAAATCCCAGCCAGCTACATTAGCCAATTAAGATTAATGAGACTGCAAAGGCAAGGGGCAAATTGGATAAGCATATTATTTTGCTTTCGTATTAAAGTTTTTTTTTTTCATTTTAAGTGGTCTCTGATAGAAAGAATGGCTGAATCATTACAAGCTTTCATTAAAAAAAACTCTGGGATCTTCCTGCTTTCTTCTTCTGATCATAGTTTGCTCTTTGTTCTTCTTTCTCTGCCTGCCAGGAAAACTGTCAGCTTACTCTCTTTATCTAATCCATTGCTAGGAATGTTTGGCACGCCTTCAGCAGATGGGAAAGCTTCCTTCCCCTTGAGAGTCTCTCTTCGTAATTAGTCAGCCATATTTGTTTTTATTGAGTTACTCAAGGAAGAAATAGAAGAAAGGAGTTTAAAGGGGCAACTTACAGAGGTAGGCAGTAGTGAATCTAAAAAATAAATGTTTAAGAGAGGAAAATCAGATGTTCAAACTAGCATATCATATTCCACATTATTATATGATAGAGGTTCTACTTCCACTGTAATGAAATACTTTGACCCCAAAGACATGACCAATACGCATTTTCTTGTTGGTTGATTTTTAATCATTTTCTTTCTTTCTTTCTTTCTTTGTTCTTTAAATATTCCATTTAGTAATAGAGGGTTTTGTATTCTCTGAGCAATGGAAGTTTCCATCGTCTTCTGCAGATTGGTATCCACAAAGGAATAAGGGAAGGAGCCTTCGTTATCCAAAAGATTGCTTTCTTTCCCCTGCCTGGAAGTATTTACTCCATTCTTTGTGCAATAGAGGAGAGAGAATTGTGTTTTCCTCCCTCAGCCTCAAAATTGCAACTTGTTTCGATGCCCTTGGAAATGTAATTGTTTGGTATTAAAACATTTAGTACTTTTTTCTTCATCATTTACTTGCATTAGCAAATGCTACAAAGAAAATGCTTTCTCCCCCCCCCCAAGAGATTCTAATAGGTGTCCAATTTCATAAAGGAACTTATTCCTCATGATTGGAGCACAGATATCTCTCTCAACTGAATTCATGAGGTGAAATTCAGGAAGATAATAGCAACAGTATTGGATGTAGTTATATTATCTGCCTATATTTTGTAGATTCAATATGTAGAAGTACATGAAGGTGAATCTGCACCAGTGGTGGGTTTCAATTTTTTTTACAATCTCTTCTGTAGGTGTGGCCTGCTTTGTGGGAGTGGCTTGCTGGCCATG